TACTCGAAAAGTTATTAAATCTTATTAATTAATATATTAATCGAGAACTTTATGCTCGAAATTTATGCGAAGATATTTTCTCACAAATTTTTTATTACATAAGAATATTTCTCAATTAAGAATAATTAAAAATTATCAATTATGTGAACACACAAACATGTATATAATGTTTGATAGAAAAGATAATTCCTTTTTATATTAATAGACAAACTCTCCTTCTTAAACAGAATCTGTGAATTTTTTGAACAACTCTTCGGAATCTTTATTTTTCTCTAACTTCTGTCTATAAAATCTTGTGAAATCTTGTGAAAATTTTATTAGATAATATTAGCAGTAGTTTTTGAACTAAGTATTCATAATAAGATATAAAAAAATGATACTCGAAAAATTATTAAATCATATTAATTAATATTAATCAAAAACTCGAAATTTATGCGACGATTCAACGATATTTTCACAGATTTCTTATTACATTCGAATATTTCTCACTTAAGAATAATTAAAAATTATCAATTATGTGAATACCCAAACGAAATACACACACACATATAATGTTTGATAGAAAAGATAATTCCTTTTTATATTAATAGACAAACTCTCCCTCTTATAGACAGGATCTGTGAATTTTTTGAACAACTCTTCGGAATCTTTACTTTTCTCTAACTTCTGTCTATAAAGTGAGAAATCATGTGAAAATTTTATTAGATATGTAATATTAGCAGTAGTTTTTGAACTAAGTATTCATAATAAGATATAGAAAAATGATACTCGAAAAATTATTAAATCATATTAATTAATATTAATCGAAAACTCGAAATTTATGCGATATTTTCACAGATTCTTTATTATATTCGAATATTTTTCAGTTAAGAATAATTGAAAATTATCAATTATGTGAACACACAAACAAAATACACACACATATAATGTTTGATAGAAAAGATAATTTCTTTTTATATTAATAGACAAACTCTCCCTCTTATAAACAGGAGCTGCCAATTTTTTGAAAAACTTTTCGGAATCTTTATTTTTTTCTAATTTCTATAAAATGAGAAATCTTGTGAAAATTTTATTAGATAATATCTGAAAGCAGTAGTTTTTGAACTAAGTATTCATGAGAAATAAAATGCAAAATGATATGGCAAAGATAAATAATTTCTTATGAATAATTGTTACCAGGAAGAGAATGGATGTTCTTTTAATTATAAACAGCTAGACAAAGATCGACCAAGAAATGACGCCAACTATGTTCCGTACTAACGAACATCGATAGACGATAGCATGACTGGAATGCTATCTGCCATTAGCATTCTATCTCGTCAGATTTCATCCAGATTGCCGAGCCTTTCTTAAAAAAAAAAAAAATGTTCTGCAAAATTCGAGCGAACGAAATTAAATTGAAAGTAACGAATCTGAACTGACAACACACATTCATTTCTCAGGTTTATCTTTCTCTATATGAAACATGATTTTAACGTTAATCATCTTTTTAAATTGTAATTGCAATAAACATTGAATAAAATGACTGACTCGAATGAAAGTCTCTTCTAAGATGTTTGAACTGATAAGATACTTTCAAACATATGTGTTTATTCTTGTCAGGCTTCTTGATATGCGCTACATATGTATTAGATTTCAGACATTTCAATATAATTTCTTACCAAGAAGCTCTCGATACATCTGTTCTTAGTTCAATAAACATAATGTCGAAAGAATTTGTTCGTGGTTTCCGTTCGAGGGAAGGAAGGGGGGAGGAATTGAACGAGGCGAGGCAAAGCGTACGAAGAAAGCGGCATTAGCGTGCTAAGCAGATGCAGATGAAACAAATGGATTCACTCGGTGACCGTCGTAAATTCACAGTATCGCGACACGATCCGTACACTCTCCGCACGAACATAGATACACGAAGACTATGAGGCTGCGAAATTTGCCCGGTATCTAGGAAGGCAAGGATATCTTCTCTTTCTCTCTCTCTCTCTCTCTCTCTCTCTCTCTCTCTATATATATATATATATATATATATATATATACACATATAAATATAAAATATTTAATTTTATGATTATTATATAGATAATTATATTAGATAGTTTTAAATTTCTTCCCTTAAGAAAACGTAGAAATTTTAGAATGAAAATATATACACATACACACATGAATTATCTTATGTTACATTATAAACATGCAAGAAACCACATAGTTTGAATTTTAAAAATTAATTAATTTTTTTATTTATTTTTATATTTTATTTATTTTTTTATAAATTTTTATTTTTTTAAATTTTAATTGTAAATTATAATTATTAATTGTAATTATTAATTTCTAATTTTAAATTATAAATTTTAATTATTAAATTATAAATTTTAATTTTAAATTATAAATTTTAATTATTAATTTTAAATTATAAATTATAAATTTTAAATTATTAATTTTAAATTATAAATTTTAAATTGTAACCTGAAATTTTTATTAATCTCCGTTTTTTAACGCTTGTAAAAGATAGATAATTAATTTGAAAAAAAAAAAAAAAAACAACGATATTTATTTCTTTTGAATGATTCAATTGAGTGCTATGAATGGCACATTCGCGTTATAGCGAATGATACATGGGATTATAAGTGATAAATATAAACGATATACGTTACGTTGGACAATAATTTGTCGGTCTTTCGTGATGCAGGAGTGATCGATGTCGTATCCATCCGAGAGCGTTTTATATAGCGCCAGTTTGTCAGATAATATTATTAGCGACATGAATTATTATTTCTTATCGCTCGAAACCGCGCATAATGAGCTATCACTCATTTTCAAAATTCTTTACTTGCGATCGAATTCGAAAAATATAGGATTTTTTAAATATTTTTTAAGTTTCTTACATTTTTTAAATTTTACATATACCACACATGTGAGTAATATTTAAAAAATCAAACGCACACACGCACAGAGAGAAATGCAGGGAAAAAAATATATATATATATATATATATATATATATATATATATATACAACGCGCGCGAGAAGGTTTCGAGATTTTTTCTCTTCCCGTCCAACGGAGAGGAGGGTACTGACTTCCATCCGGTCATCGATTCCTGCTAAAGTCATCGACACGTGACTGCGCGACCGGTCCTGCAATCCAGTTCCGTCGCGGCCCAATCAGGCGGAGGGCGATCAGGCGGAGAGGATGAGTGAACGTCGGTCTCGGACGAGGACGAGGAGTCTCCCGATCGCTATCGCCGCGGATCAAGGACGCGTCCGCCTACACCTCCGCTTCCCGTAGTGTACCGTTAGTTATTACCGAATTCCGGCCTCCTTCCCCTCCGCGCAATCCAATTCGGAAATTCTCTCATCTCTCTCCCTCTCTCTCTCTTTCACATGCGATGCGTATGTGTGTATGTGTGTGCGAGAGTGTGTACATGTGCGCGCGTGTGCGTGGCTCGACGACCCCGACGGCTTATCCGATTCGCTCTCTCGGGGTTTCCGTCCGTTGGAATCCGGATGCCGAGCGACCCGCAGCTGCTGCACTCGCGGCATTCTTCGCGCGTTGCGAAATCACGCGTGCTCCCTGTGGCGTGTCGCGTATACCTCGCGTGTGTAGGTGGCTGGACGCTGCTTCCTATCGTCGATGGTCGCCGTCATTGACGCGCGTTCGCGTGTGCGTGCCTTAGGAAGTGTATAAAGTGTGTTGAGGGAGGTTCCGCAATTTTTGAAAGTTGCCGAACAATGGATGCTTAGTAGAATGCAACGCAGGGAAATTAACTTTTTGCAGAGCAAACGACTTGTGTAAATGAATATGCTTGTGTGCTGATATACATGTAATTAATAATAAAGTACAAGAGAATTTATATAAAAGATATTGTATTTTTTAATTATATTATGTAAGAATTAAATTATTATATAATTTGATCCTTTTAGCGCATTAGGAATGAAGAAATTGTACAATCACGCTGCCTTTCTTATATAATACGGAAAATATATTTTAATTATACAATAATATGCACTTATATTAGAGTATATACGGCTTGCAAAAGTTAATTAATAGAGATACGGTTAAATAGGTAAACATTTAAAAAAGGAAAGCATGAAATCTTTTATATTTAAGTGATATACGAGGAAACAGGATATTCTATAAAACTAAAAAGACCATTAATGCAACAGAATAGAATATTATCTAGATACTATCGTATATCGTACCAGCGATTTTTTTATGCAACATCTTGTTTATAATATTATTTATACATGAAAAGCTGCATATTCTATTTTATCATTTTTTTTCTTATCATCTCAGTCTATTTTATCATCTAGTTTTTTACATCTGTTAATTAACATTATATTGGAAACTATATTCTGTGTAATTATATTGGTATACAATTAAAATAAACAGTAAAAAGAGTAAAAAATAACGGTAAGAGATTTTAAAATAGCTTTTTTTTTATGTGAAAATCATAATTTAAATTACTCGAACAATTAAGAGCCAAACATAAACAAATTAAAATAAATATATTAGAATATATATGTGTATGATATAATATTAGTTAATAATAGAATATATGGTCTGCAAAAGCAATAATATATATAATATTTAATAATTTATAATGTCCTTTATACATGACAATCATCTTTTTATTTTACCATCTTTCTTCACGTTTTCATCTGTTATATAATTAATATTATATTTCAAACTATATATTATAATATAATGATATCGTAAACATATAATTATATCATATTACATAATTAATGTTAGAAATTAAAATAGAATAAATAAATATAAATTATAATAGAATGTATATAAAAACGCGCGTATTAATTATAATATAAATATATACAGGAAATATACATTATTAATAATAATAACAAAAAAATGTAATATATAGTTTGCAATATAATATCCTGATTGCCATGTCATTTATACGTGAAAAGCTTTATATTTTTATTTTACAATCTTCTATATTTTTACATCTGTAAAATTATATTATATATATATATATTTTTTGCATGCAATATATTCTAATAATTGTGTGCGCGATTTGTAAAATCAGGAAGATTGGCCAGGGAAAACCAGACGGTTACATTCTATCTCAGTTTTTTCTTTTTCTTTTTTTCTTTTTACATACCAATAACAACTTAAATTCTCGGCGTACGAGCTTTACCGATCTACTGCGAGATAAGCTAATCATTTACGAGCGTTGCTAAATCGAATACTAAATCAGTCTAAATGAATTTTAGCGCCATTAATTTTAATGAGCTGAGCAATTATCTACCGTATGTTGCGTTAATTGTAACAGGAATGGTCAGTTACTTGGTGACAGTGTTTTTCTTTACTCAATGTTCATACTCTCGTTGTAACTTTACACGAGCATATCTGATCTTAAGGTATTCGATAAATTTTCATTTATGAAATAACGCTGATACAGTAAAAATACGGATAATATTTTCGCATAAATCATACTATCTGATAATATGAGTATTAAACATTTGAAAAATTTCATCAACAGATTAAACCGCGGCACTTTCTCCGCACACCTTAAAATTTGATTTCTGGAGTTACAAGTTACTGGTATATTTTTCATGTATCTAAATAAACGCGTAACTTTTGCTAAAAAAATTTGTAAAAAAATACAATTTAATGCTAATGCCTCAGAAAGCTTCAAGCTTACTTATTATTCTGTTATTTAAGATAAATATATAATTATCGAATTGGATTACGATTGAGAACTCCTTGCTTCTGCCGTGTTGAATTATAGAGAGGTACTTGTCGTCCGTACTGGGATTTTTCGCCAAAAAAATTCCATATTGAAAAGACTTCATTGTCGCATGTTACTATAACAAATATTCAATTTGAATATAATCGAGAGATAATAAAATCGTCGAACGATTTAAAAAATATTTCATCTGATAACAATAGAAACAAGCTGTTTCGTATTATTATTTAAAAAAACTGTTTCGTATTATTATTTTAAAAAAAAGTATCCAGTTAAAAGCATTATTCGATTTTTTAATTAGATCACGTTGTGCTTCTAAATAATGTAAGGTATTTTCTTTCCTTATAAAATTTATTTATTTTTCACATTCACTCAAAATATTGAGATTACGCACTTTTTTAAAACTTGAAAAAATGTTATTGAAACGTGTTATAAAATATAATTATTTCACATACTCAGCTCTTCGTGCGTGCCATTGAATTTCAAGAAGGATATGTGCGTTTGATGCTTCAGTGGCAGTGCATCGACGATTCGATCGAAACTGGCGAGCACTGGGACAATCGAGTATCGTTTGTTCCCCTCCCTGTAGGTCCAATGTACGACCAACTCGCCGCTTAACTTGTTCCAAACGAGATTTTCCACGCGAAAGTCGTAAGATTTGACAGACTTATGGTCTATAATTGTCTTCTTGTTGACGTTCCATAACATCAACGATCTGCCACTGCCTATACAAAGTGTGTTAGACATCTGCGGATGCCAGGCGACGGCCTGTCAACAGAGAGTACGAATATTTTACACTTTTACACACAAATCGTCATGTGAAAAAGCATTGCTGTTAATCAATAAATTTAATCAATAAATTATAATCAATAAATTTAATCAATAAATTATAATCAATAAATTTAATCAATAAATTATAATTATTCGTTAAATTATAATTCTTTATCTTTGTTTATTATATCGAATATTTAATAATAGATTCGTGAGATAAAAATTCCGCCAAGATATTTGATGCTATCTTTTGTAATATATCAGCAAGAGAATGTTACGAATAAAAAAATTAATTCTTTATTGTGCAAAATATATAAGATGTCCTATATATGGATATATTACTATTTCTTATCAAAAAATAATTTTTTTTCTTTAGTAAAATTTCCATTTATTCCAATTTAGGAAATGCATTGTTTTCAAGATATCTTACACTTTTTAATATGTCAATACAATGCATTTGTGTCTCGATTTGTGTCTAACATATATATGATTTATTTTGGTAAATGTTTACTTTACATCACACAGTTCGAAAAATGGTAAATGTTTACCTTATATCACACAGATCGAAAAATTTTTATTTTCACATATGTTGTAGAGGATATTCCTAAGTGATACACCGTTTGAATTTTGTGGCGCTCTCTCTTCGTTCCTGAGATATGCAATTTTGAAGTTTCATACTTTCATGTCATTTTTTCGTTATATCCTATTTATGTGTTCACATTTTTGTTTACATTTGCTCAACACGGTTTGATATTATATTTTCGTTGTGTGTTTATATTTTTTTGTTTACGTTTACTCATTGTGACTTCCATGTCGCTAAAGATTTAATACAATTTAATACAATTAAAAAATATCACAAATGTATGTGTACACACACATACACACACACATACACACACGCGGGGGGTGCAAGAGGAGGGCCTTCGGCCCCCCCTCCCGCAATCATCCCGCCGGTAGTCAAGATGGACCTCGCTTTACAACTTAGAGCCCTGGCACACGAAAAAACGTAAGCAGCGAAACGTAGTCAGTAAGGAAATCGGCCAATCGGAATTCTTACGTTTTCTTACGTTTTAATATGGCTGCCTTATTGTTCAATCGTGATTGGAATTTGCTTACTGACTACGTTTTACTGCTTACGTTTTTTTGTGTGCCAGGGCCTTTACAGCATATATCCATTATGATTGAACCCTTCACAATGCGTCCCCTACCGGCGGGGTGGTTGCGGGAGAGGGGGGCCGAAGGCCCCCCCTTGCACCCCCTGCGTGTGTGTGTGTGTGTGTGTGTGTGTGTGTGTGTGTGTATGTATGTGTGCGCCTATATTTCCTCTTAAACATACATAATGTCGTAAAATTATATTTTATTCTTGAAACTTTTTTTGTTAATAACTATTTAATAAATAACAATAAGCGGCTAAAACCTTCTGAAAGTTATTCAGAAAGATGACCTCAGGAAATGTGAACACAAAAATATAAGCATATTTAGAAAGTAACGAAAAGATAATACAAGTAAGTATGAAACTTCAAAATTGCATATCTCAGGAACGAAGAGAGAGCGCCACAAAATTCAAACGGTGTATTACTTAGGAATGTGTTCTTTATAACATATTTGAAAATAAAATTTTTTTGAGCTGTGTGACGTAAAGTAAGGAAATTTATCATATGTCTATTCAAATAAAATTTCTTCAAATATTTTCTGTTATAAAAATATAAATATTAATTATATAAAGAATTGCCAGTTTCTACGTGAAAAATTAAGAAATAGCAAATGCATTATATTGATGTATTAAAAAATGAAATATCTCGAGAATAATTTATCGCGGCTTACTCTTATTTTATCGGACAATTCGATGTAATAACAAAACTTTATATCCGGCCAGGTAAATATTCCAAAATTTTGTTCTCCGTCGGTTGATACCAGATACTTGTAATTTGGCGAAAAATTCAGGCTCGAAATACAATCCATGTATCTGATAGTCCAAATGGATTCAATCAATTTGCCTGTATCGGTTTCATATACCGATATCGCTTCCTCACATCCACTGTTAGGAAGCAGAAGACTAAGTTTATTATTTTTCATTTATTACTTTTTTATTATTTTAAATATTATTTATATTTATAATTATTACTTAATTATTAAATTTATTTAGTAATTATTACTCTATAATTATAATTATTATATTAATATAATCTTTTTCGACTATCTATGCTCAAATTGTCCGGTAAATTCGTTATTTTAATTAATTAATTAAGGTATTTAATAGTTCTAACGACGAATATAATAAATTATAAAATTGTTTACCGACAAGAGCAATAAAATTAGGTAAATAAAAACCAAAGTTTGATTCTAAATTCCATCATTCATCCGATTAACATATTTTCAAATATTGAAAAAAGAATTAATCATACTTTCTTAAATAGAGATATTATTGAGGAAAATAGTAAATAGTTGTTGTGTGATCTCAATTATAAATAGCAAATCAGTAAAATATCATTGAAAGAATCAGTTAATGACTGTTTCAATCAGTATTCAATCATGTTCTAAAATATATCTTATAATATTATACATGTGACATAAATTTATAGCAATTATTTAATTTAAAGAAATATCTATTTAAAGAAATATCTACTTTTTAACTAAGAATCTCGTTCATTTTTTATGGATTTATCACATCTTGAGAGTAAAGAAGTGTAATTTTTATATAATTTTAGATTTTTGAATATTATTTATATATATGTTTCATTTTTTTACATATATATAAAAGCTTCTCCAAAAAAAAATAATAATCCAAAATAAATAGAGCGAAAAAAGCTATTCATATCTTACACGTGTGCGATTATAATTTATTTTTCAGTGAAATTTTATTGCCATAATCAATAACACATGCACATGAAATTAAAAAAAACAATAACGAATATTTTCGAATATTGAAATATTCACTGATCTCTGATAAAAACTTATCTCGCTGTTTGACTCAGTGACATTTTTATCGATTCAATTTAAAATACTAGAGTCAATATTTACATAACGATGTAACGATCATCGAAAGACCAGCAGATGCAATGATTGCTATGAGGTAATGCCCTGAGACATTTAGAAGAAATATTCCATATGGACTTTTCCTTTTCCAAATCGTATAATATGATCCTAAGACTTGTACATATCGCCAGTTTACTACCTAAAATAACACACAATTCACGTTATCGTCGATAAAATAAGATGTGATAGAATCGTATAATTATTCGTTTATTTTTAGACATTAACAACGAAATGATATAATTTTCTTCCCCATCGATTTTTGAATTCCTATTAATGTTTACTAAAATGTAAAAGAGAATCATATAAATTCCTTTTAAAAAATTTCATTATCTCGGAAACATTATCCTTGAAGATACATAACTCTTATATAAAGGCTATATATTTATAAAAAAAATATTTAAGAAACATCTCACATCTTTCAATATCGAATTATGCAAAACGACGAATGTTGACGCGATAAATTTTTTTAACACGATGTATTTTACTCACCGTCGTTGCTCCATTTAACGACTTTGGCATTCTTTTCTTTGCACATCCCCAACTCTATGCCGTCCCTATTGCATATCGAAATGCCATTTTGATTACCGAAGCTGATTAAACCGTTGCAGCTCCAGTCAATTAGTCCAACCTTATTATCTTCTATTATTAAAAGAGACTGTTGAATTAATAGTAAACTACATTTCGGTTAATTTAAATTGATATCATTGATGTCGTACCCTCTGAAGAATCAAGACATAATATTTTTTCTACGTTTCCTATCAAAGTTTTCTTGCGCGGCGTGCACTTCCACTTTCTTTCCTCTTTAGATTCTGTACGCTGCAAATTCTGAGATTGCATCGTTGAATTGCTATAGTGTAGAATCTTGATTTGATTTAAATCTAAACAAGCATATCTATTTATTATAAGCATTTTAATTCACGCTTAAAACAAAAAATAAAAAATTCCTTCTTACATGTATAAGACTTTGAAGAATTCGAAACAAAGATAACTTTTTTAATAACCAATTTTTTTTATTTAGAAAAAATAAATATAAGATAGAAAAATAATAAATATAAGATATGTATAATAATAATAGATAGAGAAATTATTGTGCGAGCTTTTTTAGCTCTGCGTTCTCTCTCTCTCTCTCTCTCTCTCTCTCTCTATATATATATATATATATATATATATATATATATATATATAGAGGTATACACATATATACCAATTTAGGTACACACACACACGCGCGCGCGCGTGTCGATAAATATTTTAATGACAAATTCTTTGTCATTTTAAGACGAAAATGTCAAGGCTATAATAGTTTTTAAATGGAAAAAGTTTTTAAATATCACGAATGACACGGCTAGAATTTCGCGCGCTCAGAGATGCAAAGTGATAAAAAGTACTTCCATCGGCTTTTGATATTAGTGAAATTATTTATTCTGAAAATAATCAAGAATTTCATTAAAAATCTATTTCTATTTATCCATAATGAATTATAATAACAATTTAAAATGTTTTTATTCAATAACTTAATATCGATATTGACATGATCGATGTTGTCATATTTAACTGTTTCGATGATGAGGTTGATCAACATATGAAAGATATTAAATTATTGAATACAAATATTTTAAACTGTTTCATTATGGTTAAATAGAAATAGATTTTTAATGAAACTCTTAATTTTTACAATAATTTCACCTATGTCGAAAGCAGCTGATTCATGGAAGCATCTTTATCATTGACCATTTTGCCGCCCTTGAGCACGCAAAGTGTTCTAGTCCTGTCATTCTTTAAACTTTCCTATTTAAAAACTATTATAGCCTAGACACTTTCGTATTAAAATTCGTCTTAAAATATTACAAAGAATTTGTCATTAAAATATTTATCGTCAATTTCCGTATTTATCGTCAATTTCCATTCTGTATATATATATATATATATATATATATATATATATATAATGTATATGTGTGTGTATTCATTATAATTTAAAAATTACCTGGTATGATAGTCTGTTCTGCCATTAACGCGCGCCAAGCTTCGCGTTGATGCGTAATATTCAATAACTCGATCTACAGAGGATCAAAATGCGATTGTATAATTGAACATATAACACATTTTTTAGATGGATAACATTTCTCGTACTTGTTTATGAATATCCTGCAGTTTATGAATTCTGGTCTTCATGTCGGATTCTTTTTTTCTTAATAGACAGTGAGCTGCCTCGAAACTGTACCCGCGACGACACGGTATGAATCTGTCCCCCGAATAAATTTGTCTCGGTTTGGACGGACACACCTTGGCTTTTATATTGCTCAACGAATCCAAAAAGTTTTGCGCGTTACATTCCTCGGGTTTCTCCGCGAGAGCCGTTTGAAAGGTAGACGCCAGAAACCATTTCCGTGAAACATCCTGGAAGCAAAATTTACGAAATTTACGAAATACTTATGTATTCTCGACACAAAAATACAGTGATCTTAATTGTTCTATCTAAATAGCGTTTCTTTCAACGATATATTATACATGTGTATGACTCAAAATGTTCAAGAAATTCTTTTATATATATATATATATATATATATATATATATATATATATAAACAGATTTTAATATAGTGTCAATTTTTTTTTAAACCAAGATACAAAAAATAAAAGAGTAGCTAAATATAATTTTTGTAAAGATAAGAAACGAAAAAATTTTTTTGTGAACGAATTAAGTGACAGCTTAAGGAATTTCGTAAGCGAGAATAAAAGAGTCAGTGGTCCAAATAATCTGCACTTCCGTCATCTGGAAAAAGATGCGTGGAATTTCGCGGGCTTATTTTGACTTTTCGTCGCGTCACATCGCTCTTCGATCGATTGTGTCGTTTAAAACCTGACATGATATTGCGGCTAATCGAAAGCTTCATTTCTACGGTGAATGAGCGGGACGCACGGTGGGGTTCGACGCTTGGCTCGGCTCGAACCGGTCAGCGAAACGACGGCGACGCATGCGATGCGAAAACGCCAGGCCGCCGCCGCCGCCGTTCGTTCGTGGGCCGTACCACCTGCGGCAAAACTCTACAGGGGATACTCCTCTCGGTAAAAGACGATATATTCTCGGGAAGAGATTCGAGAAAGAAATACAGCGATCTTGCTTGTCTTATTTATATGGTGTTCTCTTCCCTCAACAATATATATATTTATTGTACATGTATATAGATCAAAATATTCAGGAAATTCTCTCATCTATTTTCTTTTAAAGAAATAAAACAGATTTTGGTACATATTTATTTTAGTCGTTCCAAATGTACGTATAAATTTTCTCAAATATATATTACATATATATATATATATATATATATATATATATAATATTCTTATTAATAAAATTATTAATAAATTATTAATAAAATTATTAATAAATTATTAATAATAATTTATTAATAATTTTATATTTATTAATATTAATATTATTAAGAATATTTGTTAATAATAATTTATTAATAAATTATTATTAATAAATATTCTTATTAATAATTTGATAATTTGATTAATAACATATGTATTAATATCATATATAATATATTTAATCATATATAATATATAATATATTTTGTAGATGTGTGTGTGTATATATTCTCTTTTTTTTTAAATGCAATTAAATGAGAAAAAATGAATTGTCGAAATTGATGAGCACGAGAATTTCAAGCACGAAAATGCAAGGAATTAAATCGATTCTCTCATCGTGTTCTGAATTCCATAAAATTTCCTGCCTCACGCTCGATTCGCGAATCGCAGATGCAATTTCCGCGCTACGTTATAAGAAGGAGAAAGAATCCCTCGCACACCCCAGACGTAAAATCCAAAATTTTCTACGTCCATGCGGAGGGTGCTGCTGGATAATTTCTGCTAGCGGCATTATGCACGAAGGGGTAATACCTTATACGACTATTGTACCCCCTGCGAACATCTGGCTGTCCGGGTTAGTGATGGATGGGACAAGTTACCGAACCTGATTCCTGTAGCTGGACCAATCTCACGTGCACTCGAAAAATGCTCCCGTGCGTTCGCGCGTGTCTGTACGTACGTGCGTGCATATGTGCGTGTGTACGCTCGTATCTTATAAAATTTTAATTTATAAGATTAAACGAGCTTATGAGATATCGCACACCTGCGCTATCGCGCAACGTGAAATTTATCTAGTCTAGAAGTCTTGAAAAAGATATCTGTTCGTATGCAAATATATATAATATATTTTACGCAAATATACATAATATATTTTATTTTATATAAGTAACATTATGTTTTTATATCGTAATTTAACAGTTTTTATTTTTCCCTTTATAATTTAGAATAATTTCCTGAAACAAGACAAAATAAATATAAAATAAATATAAAAATATAAAATATAAATATATCCTCTATATTTAAAAGATTCATGCAATCCTCTCTGATACGTTTTTATCTATTCGGCCTCGATTTATCTTTACCGCGTGCGAAAATTTATAATGCAAAATTCAAACATATTGTTTCTTCCTGAATGTTTCGAGAACAGAGAGATTCTGAAAGAGATGAGATCCCGATTTTTGATTCAATATTGCGATACCGGGGATGAAGACGCAAGCGCGCGAGATGCGACGCGACAACAATCTAAATCTCTCTCGGACCCAAGCGACTCGTAAGCATGACGATCTCCCTTCCACTTTCGACACCCGTTACGAGCGATGGTATTAGATCGTACGTTAGACACGCGATTGGCTCCCGTCGGACGCAAAGAGGTTGGGCCAGGTGGACCATCAGGGGGCACATGATGCTATTGGCAGCACAAATAGCCGCGGAGGAAGGGGACAAACGAGTTAGCGAATCCACAGCTTCACTATAAAACGAATTATTACGCCTATTCATTGGTTTCTTTGTTTACGAGCTGTTTGGAACACCGTTAATTAATTAATTAATTAATTAATCTTGTCGATCTGATTCATGAGATAAATATATTAAGACATCATGATTCAATCAGTTCAAATATCAAGATGTCGAGTAAATTTTATCGGAAGAAAAAACTTTATATTTCTGACAAAATCGCTAACGAAAAATCTACTCCAAATTAATTAATAAATCAATGGGAAGAGATTCATTAGATCTAAGATCTCCTAGACACATCAATTTTACTTGCATATTTAATTATTTTACTAAATATATTGTAGAAAGAAAAAGGGTAAATAATATAAAGTAAATATTATTATATTTATTTTATATTATATGTTATATAATATAATTTATGAAACATTAAATTTAATTAAATTCATTTTAAATTTATAATACTAAAAATTATATTTTTTGTATCATGAAAAAACAGCTGATTTCTTTACACATTATTCTCAAGATTTTCTTCATATAAATATGTTTTCTAAAAATCCTTCGACAGAGCCTAATCTTTCAGACTGATCTGATAATTGAGCAAAATAATCCTAAAACAGGAGAAGAGAAGGAGAAGGAAAATGTGCACAAAAACAACCTAGATAAAATGTGCCCTTATTCTTATAAATTGATAACATCTCGTGCGTCACGCGTTGCAAGACGCGGGCAAATTTCCCGGACGTGATCTCGAGGGCGCGAAATGCGTGCGCCAAGATCAGGTGGAGGAGACCGTCTCTCGGGACGCAGGACGCGGAATGCGCGACGTTAGGACATAGGTCGTCGCAGAAGTGGGGAGTCCTCGCGGAGAGCACAGCGTGTATCCTTCCTTCCTTCGCAGCAGCAGCAGCAGCAGCAGTAGCAGCAGCGGCGGCGAAGCGACCGAACTGGTCCTGGAACACGGCGCGGGGGGCTCGAGAGGGCCCCCGGGGCCGTGGCGTGGCGGGCCCCGTTTCTGGGCCCGCTGTCTGCAGCCCTCAGTCGCTCGCTGATGCTTGGACGAGTAGGAGTGTCGAGTTATCCTAGGACAGGGTTCGCCGCGATTCCGCTCGTCCCTTCTTGGTTCCTTCCCTTTTCGCGGGGGAGACCTTGATACGCGTTCGCGAATCGAATATGCCGTATATTCTCGTCCCAGTGACCAGCAGTTGTCGAGAATGATCATGAATAATCATCGAGGATACTCGAACTGCCACTCGTAGTGGTCGAAAAGGGACGGAGGGAGAAAAATCTCAGACGAGTTTCCTCTCTCACTTACGGATCGTGAGGCAGCAGGATCGATGTGATAATTCGATATAATCGCCACTCAATCCTTGCACCTTTGAATCCCGATTCTTGCGTTTCGATTCTCGATCAACCATCACTCTGAATAGTCAATCAACTGACGATCTGAGCCGAATGTTGTAATAACATTAACAATGACATTCGAATATTTGTCGTCGAAAAGTGTCGATTAATCAGTGGAGCTTGAATTTTTATCACTACCATGTCATTCTTGAGATGATTATGTTATCGACCTTGAAGGAGAAGAGAGATATCCCCTCTCTTTTTTCCCGAAGAAGATACAAAGTTAGCCAGTCATGTTCGTCGCAAAAAGAAACGCTTTACGTAAAGGAATATATCTCGCTCGTGTAAAAAGAGGCGGATATTTAAAAATAGAGAAAAATAACGCGAATTGATTATTGCAGGGACGAACACATATCTCGATTAATTTAAAAAAAATCGATATGATGAACGCTCTTGGGAGATGTCTCGGTGAAAAATGCGGCTCGGCGCCTATGCTAACCGCGATGTGATTCGAGGCGTGGTTCGTACGTGTTTGCGATCGTTATGGATCATAATCCGTCGAATATCGCGCGGAAGACGATCCGGAAGGTGAATCGTCACCGTCGCCTCGCCGATCACGGTTTCGCGATTCACCACGTACGTGGTGCGTGCGGATTCTCCGACGTGCGTGCCGAGAGTTAGATTACGCCGCGGGGTTTTACTCGACGAAGTGATCGAGGAAGTGGGAGTTGGCTGTGATCGCCGCGCCGGTCGGAATCGATCGAGCGGAAAGGCAAAAAATCATTCCGGCAAACGAGGATCCCGGAGGCCTCGGCGTCGTTACAAGGATCAAGGATCAATGATCTCCGTGCAATGATTTTTCGAATTCTTGCGGGAGATACAGTTAGGTCTTTTAACATTTGCCATCCCTCCCTGTCTCTCTCTTTCTTCTCTCTGTCTTTTTATAGATATCGTGCAAAATTGCAAACTGACTTGAATATTAAATAAGTTTTTATGAATGCAGTTGCACTGTTAAAAATCATCGCACTGTTTTTCAGAGGAATTGAAATTCTCGTAGTAAAACCTATGATTTTAGTCGCTGCAACGAAAAAAGGCGTTTTATCGAGAAGCGTCAAACGAGAACTGTTTTTTAGAAATTTTCACACTAGCCTATTTCGTGTAAATATATTTTGACGAAAGAAAAAGCAACGATAAAAAGTGCGACCATCGATAAAAGAGAGAAAAGGAAAGAC